GACCATAAGCGTTAAAAATCTCTGTGTTAGCTAGACGCAAGCACTAATAAAAGAAAAACAAAAACTTGAAATTGTTATTTAGATAAGTTTACCATGAAATCATAACAGAAAACGCGGTAGGAATTATAAAGAACGAGAAACTGCAGCGATATCTTAACTATCAGCAGTGAGACCATGGAGATGGATTATCCAGTTAATAAGAGATTCTTTGGCATCCTTTACAACATGAGTCAATCAGTCAACCAGTCAATCAACAGAGCTTCCAGCCACGGAGGCTCCTGATGGCGAGCCTAAAGGCAGGCCTTCGGCCCTACTCTAGCTCCTCGAGACAGGCTTGGTCGAGCTGCCCACGGGCCTCCTCCACCCCGGAATGGCTTGAGCAGAGACAACCTGATGGGCAGGGTCATCCACAGGGAAACGAGCGAGGTGCCCATATAGTCTGAGATAGAGGTCCCTTATTATACAATTAACAAGTCCCATGCCGGTATCACGGTGTAGCCGTCGGTTGGACATTTGGTCCTGTCAACTCCAAGGCTGTATATATATACAAATATATATATATATATATATATATATATATATATATATATATATATATATATATATATATATATATATACGTACACACACACACACACATGTTTATATATATTGAGGATTTCCGGCACCTAGTATCACCGCTCCACATCGACCACATTCTTATCAGCTCTCGCTGAAGGCCTCCTCCAGAACTGCAGGGTTTACCGGAGTGCCGAGTTCTGTGGTAGTGCCCATAGACTGGTTATGACTGACATACAAGTCCACTTCAGATCCCCTCCCCCCCTCTGTCCAGTGACCACTCCAGGGTGTTTCATTTAGGCAGACTGAGGGAGGAGGAGTGCGTTTAGAGGTTCAGCCCGACAGTTTATGATCGGTTCATACTGCTCGAAAACTGACGGACCCAGTCGCTCTGTGGGATTCCTTCAAGCGGGAAGCACTCGATGCAGCGCAGGAGTCCACTGGTTAGGAGGCACTGGAAACCACAGTTGTGTCGCGTGGCTCGACTGAATGGCAATCGGGATTCGCGTCTTTAGTGCGCAGAGCCCGGACACTGCAGAGAAGAGACAAGAAACAGTTGATCAGGAGCCTTGCTGAGGTGGTTGAAGGCCATTTCTTGGTAAATGACCTTCGCCCCGCCTACTAAGTCCAGAGAAAGTGAACTCTAAGCCCTCCTCGCAAATTACTGCAGACCGCTCAGAACATGGGCAGATCATCTCAGATCATATCGGGGTTCATGAACGTTGGGCTGAGTATTTTGAGCAACTGTACCAGGTAGGCCCTTCGGCAGTGAGTCTGGAAACAAGTGGTGTCACAGCACCTGCCAACGAGGAACCTCCTACCCTGACTGAGGTTAGGGAAACGATTTCTAAGCTGAAGGGTAGAAGAGCCGCAGGCATATGCGATATTGCAGTGGCCAGCAAGGCTTGATTATAGTGTCAGACTTCGACACTTACACTAATTGCTACATTTACCGAGATATGCCGATGGAGCGGGCCGAGCGGTAAGCACTCTCCGAGGCCGTGGTGGGTTTGGGATAAATATTATTCATGAAATTTAAATCCATCATGTAGCTTTCATCATTATACCAACACATGTCAAACCCTTTTGGTTCCCTAATGTTACGTTAAATGTACACAACGGGGTTTTACAACTGTACAGCAAAGGTTTAAAACTTAACACTCCCCGTCTGGAAAATCAAAAGGAGCCTGGGCACAACTTGCTAAAAAGAACATCACTACAAGAAGGAAAGAAACAAACACAAAAATCTAATATCTAATAAAAGAGCTTGGATGTATAGATAACTGACAATTGGATATATACATAAGTAACACAAATATAACAAAGCCGGCATATACTGCTGGTGCACATATAACTTATCTTACAAAGTGTGCCTCGAATCCTCCGTCCTCACCGTAAAACACGATCAGGTTAAAAAAAGAAAAAAAAAAAAAAAATATATATATATATATATATTATATATATATATATTATATATATATATATAATATATATATATATATTATATATATATATATAATATATATATATATATATTATATATATATATATTATATATATATATATTATATATATATATATTGAGGATTTCCGGCACCTAGTATCACCGCTCCACATCGACCACATTCTTATCAGCTCTCGCTGAAGGCCTCCTCCAGAACTGCAGGGTTTACCGGAGTGCCGAGTTCTGTGGTAGTGCCCATAGACTGGTTGTGACCGACCTACAAGTCCACTTCAGATCCCCTCCCCCCCTCTGTCCAGTGACCACTCCAGGGTGTTTCATTTAGGCAGACTGAGGGAGGAGGAGTGCGTTTAGAGGTTCAGCCCGACAGTTTATGATCGGTTCATACTGCTCGAAAACTGACGGACCCAGTCGCTCTGTGGGATTCCTTCAAGCGTGAAGCACTCGATGCAGCGCAGGAGTCCACTGGCTAGGAGGCAC